AATATGTCCACTTGGGAATTTTGGATGTTGCAGTAAGTGCTTGAGAAGCATCCTCATCTGGTGATGCTATAGGTAACCTATCATAAATATAACCTCCTTCTAGTCTTAAACCCATACCTTACATTGAATGAGCAGGTTTCACAGGTGTGTATAAGTACTAGAGAATCATGATGAAACTGAGGAAAACTTCTGTAAATGCTTCCTTTACTGCTATGAGCATCTCTGGTTGGATTGCTCAGAAAGCAAATTTCTGCATTAAAAATGGTAGTGAACCAAGGTGCTGCAGAGGTAAATGACAGGTGAAAATACATCATAGCCCTGCTAAATACTTTGAGTACACATTTAACAACCAACACCATTAATGTATAAGGTGGTTGACACTTCTGTTTATAACTTAAGATGTTTATCTTCATTGACCCACAAGGATCTCACACATTTGGTGTTTGTTCTTTGAACTTTCTGTAAAGGGCTCTGGCAATATGAATCTGCCACTCTGGAACCTGATGGTAGGACCCAGCTCAGTTGTCTTCCTCACCTTTAGCTTTGGCTACACTTTGGTTTCTTCCTGTGTGTGGTGGGACAGAATTGGAACGAATCTCTGTAATGAGCAAAGTGATGCTTAAGGTGAGTGATGCTCAGAGAGCCACCCTCAAGGGCTCTTTTCTGCCAGTAGGACAGTGCTCTTGACATTTCAGGTAACCAGGGTGGAAAGGGTCTGCTGCTCAAAGCTGCTGGCTTGTCAGGCAGGCACAAAAGTTTCTGTAACCTATTAATTATTTGCCTTTTTTTCATGCCAATTGCTAGAAAGCATCTTAAATGTGTCCAGTTAGGTCTCCTACTGCTCCCATTTAATCACAGACGAGTCTCCAGCTGACTTTACTAGTGCAGAATCCAGCCCATCGTGCTGGTGGCTTTGTTTCCAAGTGCTTGACTGAGACCACTAATTCACTGCACCCGAGTCAGATGGTTGATTTAATTGACAGCTTTTTCAAGAGAAAGTTCATCTGCACAGGCTTTTTCTTGATGTTGTCTCATACATGGTTTGTTTTGTTGTTTCTTTTAAAATCTCTGTTAGTCTTTAAGATACATCTGTTACTTTTTAGAAAGTAACATTAAAAAAAAAAGGAATCTGTACTTTAAAAAACAGCATGCCTCCCTCCTGACATGTTAAAAGTCCTAGCAAGGAATGTGCATCACTCTTCATATAGAAGCAGCAAATGGCTTTGTTCCCAGAAAGAACCACTTTGAAAGGTATAGGACCTTCCTCCTGGTACAGCCCTGCAGAGGGACTGCTCCATACACTACTGATCACCAGACTGTGCCATACCAGCCCGAGTCAGCTCCCTTTGACAATGGAAGGAACCTTTTCAGTGGCTGTGAGGTATCAAGCTCTAAAGCCACATTTCACCCCCAGCTGCTAAGCAAACTCTTTGGACTGAATTATGAACTCTCAACCTCTCACTTAAATTTGCAAAGTCAATATGAGTAGTTCTATGGAAGTTTACCAAAACAAGTATTGCCAGGGTGATTTGTTGGACAAGAATTTACAGTCTTCAATGCCTTTGACTACAGTTGTCCTGCATAATGATATAAGGTGTGATTAAATCCAAAATACTGCTAAACATTGTCCAACCTATCTTGTGGTTTGACAAAACATACTTTGTGATCTATTAAGAACGTTTTTAGCTGATGGTAACTGTTCTTGCTAACTATAAAATCAACACAGAACTATTGGTTTTAAATATTTAAATCAAGATTTCCAGCAACTGCAGAGTTCTTTTTGTCCCACATAGTTAGAGAAGAATCACATACCACTAAATGAATTTCCTGTTTTGCTACTACTAACAGAGCTCAATACGGTTATGAATATGTCATTAATTTCTGCACAGCGTGTTGAATGCAAGGAGAACAAGTGGTCACTAGGTAGTTCATATTCCACAGCAGGACACAGTCCACTGAAAAAGTCCAACCACCAAGAAAAATGTGACTATGGGAAACAACAAAAGAGGGAGGAATCTTGAGTTATTTAATTTTTTTTTTATGTATTTAAGAGCCATATTTTCCTTATAAGTCAGCTGGTATGTCGTGGGACCAAAATTTATACCTGAAAATGTGGATTGGAATGCTGCTGATGGAGGGAAAAAAATTATGCAAGATCTTCAGCTTGTATTAACTTTCATGGTGCTTCTGAGCACCAGAATTGTACTGGTCAGGACAGTGAACTGTACTGGAAGAACTGAGTTTGTCAAGGTTAAAGTAAAATTATAACCCCAAAGGCCTTGATCCTCAAAAGTACCAGTTTCTTAAACAGTTTAAACATTTTCCTAGTTGGATTTAATATCTATGTATATGAATTGCATCTATAATTTTACACAATAGAGAGATCCCATGTTCTTTTATTAATGAGGTAGGAAAACATGAGAATTTAAAACATAAATTGCTATAAAAGAGATGTAGAATCAGGCTTATGCTCAAAATGTATTGCTGCCACAGTAAATAGCCCCCGTTGAAGAGCATGGCAGATTTACTTCTCTTGCAGAAGACATAAAGTACAACTATGGCCAAAACCAATCAGCAGGAGAGATTCTGATGTACAATCTGCTTTGCTTTGTGTGGTTTCATCCTTTGCTAATGCCACAGTACCTTCCAGCATGCATAAGCCAAACGATAAACTGTCTTAGGTGACTGTTCTGTATCAGTGTGTCCCCAAGAAGAAGCATCAGGATATTAAACTGGGTAGGTTTTTCTTTTTAAAAGTTGTTGAAACAAATTTGCATGGAGGAGAAACCTCAGATAAAATAATGTTTTATATTCCGTTAATGTATATTGTTATTATGTTGAATAATTTTAGTCTATTTTTAACTTAAAAGCCTTTATGCTTAAAAGGTTGACAGGCAGAAATCATCTTGGTAACTGGGCAAATTTCAGCTTGAATTTCTTGACAGCTTTCAAACCTGCACCTATGTGAATTTTTTTAGAGTAATATTAGGAAGTGTAGACACACTTTCAGTCGAGATATACAGATTAGATAGTCAAATGTCCCCTGGTAAAATCTGATATGATACCAAGAGAGATGGCCCTTGATGCCAAAAAATCAAGAAATACTTGAGATGTGGCTTATTTCAAAGGCTGACTTTCTGTGAGAAACTCCAAGCCTTGCCAGACGTATCCAAGAGGAGGACTAGAGGCCTTAGGGTGTGTAAAAGTAGAGCATGATTTTATAGTTTATGGTTCTTGATGCAACTTATTTGAGATATTACCAGTGAAAGCATGGTGACATTTAAAGGGAATCTCTGTTTCTGCTTGGAATTTCTTGGCTAGCTTATCAAATACTAAAGTCACAAAACTAATGATCAAATCAAAAATACTGTGATTTTTTTCTGGATTTGTAAACATCTATCCCTACTCCAAATTAGCAACACCGAGTGCAGTAAATTAGTCCTAGAATGTTAGGTAGGTACTGTGTTATATATGTAAACCATACAGAGTTTGTTGTTGTTTTTTTTCTAATAACATCATTTTGTAAACAAGGACAGGAGTCTATGATTGTCACTAATATCATAAAATGGTTTGGGGTGGAAGGAACCTTAAAGATCATCCAGTTCCAACCTCCCTACCATGGGCAGGGACACCTTCCACTATTCCAGGTTGCTCAGAGCCCCATCCAACCTGTCCTTGAATACTTCCAGGGATGGGGCATGCACAGTTCTCGGGGCAACCTGTGCCAGGGCCTCACCACTCCAACAGTAATTCCTTCTGTAGATCTAATCTACACTTCCCCTCTTTCAGTCTGAACCCATTACTCCTTGTCCTATCACTTCATGCTCTTGTAAATAGTCTTTCTCCATCAGTAATATATGTCCTTAGAACTCAATGAGTTTCTCTAATCAAGGCAATTAACCCCCTTCTCCTACAGACTTGATGCTGAGATGAAAAGTCTCCAGCATGTTGGTGCTGTGCTGTAAAAAAATTTTGATTTCTAACAAGGAAGAACATCTTAAAATTCTACGCAGAAAGCAGCTCAGTTCTCTGAGTGGATGAGTCAGTCGGTGATGGTTTTTCCTCTGCCAAATCAGTCAGTGGCTGAGGCCCCTCTTGCTGTGCAAAACCAATGGAATGGATGAGCAATATCTGATGGGCTAGAGAAGAGGTCTTGAGATGGTCTCAATAAAACTAGAGAGCACAGGGCACAATATACAAATGCTCTTTCATAAGCTGCGCTGATCAAGTGCTGTTTCCTAACTAATAAAAAACTAATTGCTTGAAGGGAAGGTCACATACGGTGAAAATAACCAGGGATTGCACCAAGGACAAAGATCTTCTTAAAAAAAAATCTTTAAAATTAAAAATTTAGATTTCTACTTAATATTGGGTGCAGAACTTACTAGAAGCCAGGAACATTATTATATTCTTCTCTATGCAGGAGACTCAGAACACACCTGTCAGTGCATATTGTTGAGCTCTTGTGGCAGCTGTCTGAGTTCTGGTGTCTGTCAGACTGTCCAGTCTGCCTGTTGATATTGGAAAGTTCTTAGGTGCAATAGAAGCAGAGAGCAAGCCAAAATGGATGGTATTGATGCTGCATTATCAGCACTAGGTGTGTTTTGAGGCAGGAATTGGACTGGATTTGGTCTGGTCCCCTCTAATGGAAGTCCCCGGGATCCATGGCATTTGAAGCTGTCGGCAGGGCTGATCTCCTCCAGGCCCTGTGTCCCTGCTAGAAGCTGGAGTACATTTGGTGCACATCTGGAACAATGTTCAGTTTCCTCCTAAGGAATTTAGTCCATGTGTAGTGAAATAACTCTGAGAATCAAACTAATACCCAGCAAATGGGCATGACCTGGGAATTTAACTCAAAACTGCGTGACTGCTCTGAACCGAAACAAATGTAGGTGTCATGTCTTCTCTCCTTTGTTGAACTTTGTGCTGGTAGCCTGGTAAAGAAGGTCTGTCTTCAGGAATAAAAAAAGATTGTCTTTTTTTTTTTTTTTGCAGGCAATGTTGCATTAAATTAAAAACCAGCATTTTTGTTGACTCAAATGCTATACAGATGAATCCTATCTAACTCTGAGCACAAGTCAGGTTTTCCAAGGTAAATCCTGTGGCTGAGAAGCATTAAAAAAGGGAAAGAAAACTTTTACAATTAACCTCAAATGTGCATTCATGTGTAAATACAGTCATGAGACCTGTCTAAATGTGAAATCTTTATATGTGTTCAAATTTGTTTTATTTTTCTGGATGCAAATGATCATGCTTGCAAAGAATTATTTTAATCAGCATAACTGATATAGTTTCTTTTTTTAACTTCATTTCACATTGCAATAAAGGGGGATTTTGTTTCTCCTGACATGGGTACAACTCAACTTTTTGGAAATGAAGTACTGTTACTTCAACAATGAGTGTTGCAATTTATAAAAATATTTTACTGCTGCCCAGTAGTCTTGGAGGGGAAGAAAAATCTTTAGAGACTCACAGCCTGATTCTCACACAGTTTTGCACATAAAAGTGGAATTACATGTATCAGTACTGAGCCCTAACCTGAAAAAAAGATCTCCAAAGAGACGTATCTTATTAATATATTACCTTTTTAAAGTCACTTTCCCAAACCTCTGCTACACTTATAACACCATTCCCTTTCCCCATGGTATCTGCTTAAAAGAGATCAAAGGATTTTTTACAAATTCATATTGATTATGATGAACTGGTTTACTCAGAAAAATATTCTGAATTGTTTCAGGTTTAAATTTAAAAAGAACCAGCATCTTTTTAGTGTTCAAATGATTTGAACACAGTTCTGAATACTGAATGCACTACTAAGCACTGCAATACCATAGGAAGTTTAACTCACACAACTGGTTAGTTTATACCCTCTTTCAAATGTCAAGCAAAGTAAAAGGTACTGCTTGTGTAACTCTTAGTGGAAGCTCTCCTGCATGCTGCCAAAAGGCAATTTTTACCAAGTTCCTATATTCTACATATAAAGTATGTAGACAGAATGTGTATAGTATGAAGATGGCTAATCAATTCTTAGTAGATTATGGAAAGAAAATGAGATAAAAGTGAGATGAAGGGCAAGGTTCCTGAAGAACCAAACGGGGAAAGCACAGTGAGAAGAGGGATAAAAAAAAAAGTAAGCTGCTATCTACCCCAAGGAGTCCAACAGTGGGGGACCAAGTGCTCTGCAGTCAGTGTTTGAGTTTAGAAAGGAGATGGCAGAGAATCCTGACTTGCTCAATGGAAATCTTGACAAAATGTCTGGTCTCAGACTCATTTCTCTGATAGTCGTGCAGATTGCTCCTGCCTAGTTTTCCCTATGCATTCTTTCCCCAGCTTTACTAGGGCCTTGAGAAATAGAAAAGAAGATGTCATCTCAAGCTAATTCTATAAACACTGCTATCAGAAAAGACATTTTAAACTATCGTAAAAAGACTCATTGTGCAACTGAAGTCTTGGAACAGGAGTGGGTTATAGCTCAACCATTGTTAAAGGTTAATGTTCCTATCATTGCATTCCTTTTTCTAGTTCCCATAACCAGGCTGTAATGATAGATAAATATATGAGCTATTTCTTTGTGTTGGCAAAATCACAGTTCAGAAAGACATAGTTTCCTAAGTTATTTTTAAACTAATATGCTGGTTTATAGCTAGATGAACAAACCCATCTTTTTTAAGAGAAAGGAGAAAGACTTTTTATGTTATGTTGCTTTTGCAGAAAGTGAGCATTTTTGTCTATCAACACAGAGTAGCAGCTTTATGAAGTCAACTCATGAACTGAAAAGGAAACTAATTAAAACAATAACATTAATTTACTGTTGCCAATTGTTAACGAATCTGGTACTTTCCACAATTATTTTTACGGTTGTAAAATAATTTGAATGACTTTGCCATTGTTTTGTATTGTTATGTTCCTGTAAGTGCTGAATGCTGATTCCAGGGCAGAAATTTTATTTACAGAAATTTATTTAGCTGACTGAGCAACGGAGTATGCACATCTCTCTTCCCAACTCTTTCAATTTTCCTGCAAGGAGCAAAGTAATGTCTTCTCTATTTTGGTGGATTTCTGTGCTTCTTGATTAGTGCACAAAGAGTGCCTTTTATCAGTGAGGTATTCTGATATAATATTATAATTCCTAGGTAACTCTGCAGATTGAGACCTAAAAGTTTTCTTATGACAGAGGAGGGGTAGAGCATCTCAGCCCAGGGTTTCTTTAGAAGTCAGGAGCAAAAATATTTACTATTCACAGTTTAATCAGATTTGGAGAAGCTTCTGAGTTTCCATAAAATTCCTCTTGCCCAGTACTACTAGTCTGCTCAACCATCTGCAGAGTCTCAGGTGCTTCTGAGCTGGTAGGTCTGAGAGATGGATCTTGTGCATTGTTCACTCTGTGTTTTACAGGCAATTTTCTGGTGAGTCTTTAGCACAGCTTGGCTGTGCTGTGCTCAGCACCTGTTCAAAAACTTGAATACCTTTTTACTGCCACTGTTTACAGGTTTTCTGGTTCAGGGACAAACTGAGAGGAAGAAGCAGGCCAGTTGCAGCTACCTCCTATTTTTGGAGTCCAATCTACTGGAAATGTTTCTGAACTAAAAGTAATCCCAAACAATTTTTTTTTTTTCCAGGAGAAGAAAGCATCCTCTTAACTCTTTCCTGGCTTGTGGTGGTTTTGAAGGAAAGTAAATAATCCCCTCTTTAACAATTTCAAGGGAAATACCTGTGAAAGGTAGGTCAGATGAGACATTTTAATAGCATGACTCCATGGCAGTGGTACATCCTAGTGAACTGAGCCACTCAAACTGGGGCCCCAGATGGTATCTGAGTAGAAGGCTGTGGTTCCCTGCAGAGGTTCAATAATCAGATTTTTCTTTAGAGTGTGTGTTAAATGTCCTTAAGTGAGAGATGGACGGGGAGCCCTCCAAAGGAAATTTTTATTGAAACATTCTTAGTTTTTTAACACAAGAAGAAATAATGAAGGTCCTTCTGAAATTGCTTTCTATATATTACTGGTATATCTGCTAATACTGTTTAGGTAAATTGTTAGGTAATCTTTTAATGAAAAATTTAACCTTTTTTATTTAAAAAAAACCCCAACAAACAAACCAAAACACCCCAAAAAACTCCAAAAACCAGCCAAAGGGAAAGGCAAACATGTATTAACCTTTCAGCAAAGAACAAATACTGCCAGTGCATCTTTGTGAACAGTGAACCCTTTATTCATTTTCTGAAATTGTTAACTCTGAAATCTAATAAGCCCTCAAAAATTTTTGGGCACTAGCTCTTTGGTTACTGCTATATTGACCCTGAATGCAAAGAACCAGTAATAAACAATTTTAAACTCTGTTATCATTAAAGAAACCTCCTGCATCTCTTCTTTTGTGCAGATCTACTGTTCACAGTGTTGTGTGTTGGTTGTTTACATAGAGGAGCACACAGTACTGTTTATAAGCCTCATGTGAATATAACTTAAATTTGCCTCTTGTTAGCACTGAAGTAGCAACTCTAATATGTTTTTCAAATTTTACTTTTTCTCTATAGACTGCTTTTAGTCTTCTGTGCAACCCTTCTGTTGTGTCTGACAGAAAATATCAGAGAAAAGAATCGATGGCATTTGAGGAGGAGGTTATTAGGGAGAGCGTGGTGGCACTGGTTTGGACTAAATATGTTTTAATTGATACAGGGGTACACAACTGTTGTTTCCATAGCTTTTGCTTCTCTTTCAATGATTTGGTAAAGATTTGAATTTCTGATTTTATTTCCAGCTGTGAGGTTTACTATATTAAAATTGAACAAACATTATCTGTAGTATTGTTTTATGTGCTGCTGAGACAGATATCACTAAAGGATGAGACAAATGTGTTGTATCTGTACAGCAGGAGAAATACAGGGCAGGGACACCTGCCCTTTGAAAGAGTTTCAGTGACTAGTGCTTATACGGAAAAATTATATTAGTTCTGCTTTTCTTGACAGACACTCTGTACTCAGCTCTTTGCAAAACCTAGAAACTCAGCATCACACATTATGTCTGGTTTACCTTCAGTGTGATTACAAAATTAATATGGTTTCAGGTACTAGTTTGGGTGCAATCTCTTCAAAATCTATGCAAATTTTAAGCAATGAAGTAAGCCTATAGATTTTGGCCTCTGGTAAAAGATTGTGATAATACAGCTAATTACATGCTCGTTTAGCCACAATATGCAAGTATTTGTAAGAAAGCAAAAAAAAAAAAAAAATCAGTCACATTGAAAGAGATCTAAGAGCAGTTTGATTGAAGAGTAAAGTACTTTACTTCAGGGTAAAGTAGTATGCTTTTTGTTTACACAAAAAATCTCTGTTTAATTAAATAGGGTGATGTATAGTATACACACTTTGGCTGATGACACATAACATGAAGAATTGGGAGGTTATGCTATATATAATAACCCAGTTTGCTCTAGGCTGTCCCCTGAAGTTTTACTAAAGACGTTTTCAAAGCCTGAACTACTAGCAGCTTTCATGAAACTTCCTGTAAATTGTCACCCATGCTTATGCAGTACAGTTTATTCCTCCAATTTTTATGGAATATAATGCTGTATACTGAGGTTCTGCAAAAATCAGCATGACTTTATTTTTTGCACATTTTTATTCAGCATAGAAATTAACCTAACTCTGAAGCATTCTTTTTATTAGAAGCAGCAAAATTATAAAGCAATTTTTGCTAAATTGAAAGTTAGTATGTGATTTGCTGGTTTCAGAGTTAGAGATATTATTTTGTTAAATCCAATTTTTCTTTAGTATTGCTTTAGGTTTTTAAGCTTAGTTGTGACATTTCCATACAGTAAGTTAAATATTTTTCAAAATTATACATTTTTAACTTGGACTGGTGTTGAAATTTAAAACTTTTGCATGGAGATACAAATTTTAACTTTTAAATCCTTCACAAAAAATGAATAAGAACATAATGAATTGTAAGAAAGGACTGCATTTTTTTTCACTGTAGGTATTCTAATTAGATTTTTGCAAACCCCCAAACTGTTTCTAAAAAACATGTTTTGCAATCCATTCCACTCCCTCTGAAAGTACAGTGCTTTAAATCAAAACAGTTCAATTTATCTTAAAGAAGTAAACACTCAAAATCTTGCAACAAAGGAAATTTTGACAGACATTTTTAAACTACTGCATCTGATCAACTATCACATTAAAAATATGAAACATGATTTGTAAGAGGATATGAACAACTTTGGGTGGATTTTTTTAATACATTTGTCATATTTCCATATGAAAAGGAAAATGTATTTTTGAGAAAGTATTTTTTTTTCATAGTATTAAAAAAATTAAGCCCTGATCCTCCTTTTACACTTAGGTATTACTAAGTAATACTTTTTTGAAATATACATATGGTAGTCCTTCAAGTTCAAGGGAACTACCCCTGCCTTGGAATCAGTAAGAATATTCATTTTGATTTATCTGAATTATCTTCAGATAAATGTTTGAGGATTTAGGATTAAAAAAAAAAAAAAAAGTCTATTATTTCCAGAAGAGAGACAGCATTTGTTGTGATATTCATTGATAGGAGAAATTATCTTTTGTTAAATATGACTTATTATGTTTACCTGCAAAGACTTAGTTCAGAGACATGGAAAAATTAAACAGAGAGAGAAACTGATAACCTGGAGTCTTTTCCAGCAAGACGTTATGGTAGCCCCTGAAATTTTTCCATCTTGTTCTTCTGTTTAAAACAGGCTTTGCACAGATCGAACCCCAGAATTTTCGTTGTGAGAAACTGCAGCATTTCAAACAAGATTTTTGTTTGGCACAGGTAGTCTAGATGTCTTTTACGTAGGAATTTCAGTCCAGAGGCACTGGATAATTCCAGGTAAGCATCCAGGATGGTCACTATGCTCTTACTGAAGTGGTTTTGCTGGTCCCTGTGCACCGCTGAAGCAAATGCCCCTCAGCACCCTTCCACTGAGTGCTGATTCCTCTTTGCCTTCTGTGCACTGGAAAACGTTGACAGTTCCATCATATTTGGGTCGTTTTGACATTTGATTATCACCTATGACTAGTGTGAAAAAAACTATCTTGCTGTGCTCATGCAGCTCTGTCTTATGGTGGAGCTTTGCAGATCTTCAAACTGATCTGTATGTGCACTCTGACTCTGTACACTTAGAAGGCTCTCACAAATTTAGTTGCCTTGCCAACAACTTTTGTTCAGTAAAATTGGCCAGCTCTTCCCAGCCTAGGAAAGAGAAGGCAAGGCCAGAGTTGGTCCTTACTGGAAAGGGAGGATGCAGGCCTGCTAAACTGGTGAAGACTTTTCCCCAGCTCTTAACTGGGACTTAAGCTGGATGCTGCGGTGCAGTTGTGAAGAATGTTGCTCTGCAACCTGAAAGAGAAAGACTGATTAGGGAACTTACACAAAAACAAAACCATCCTTCCCTTTCTTCCCCCCTCTCTCTTTTTCCAGCCCTTCACCTGAACAACCTCCTGTAATAAAAAAATATTACTTAAAAATGTGTGATACATTCTGAGGAAGATTGCTGGACCTAATTTCCTTTCTGTTTTTCCTTGCCTCCCTATATAACCTTCAATGTCACAGCTCAGAAGCTTTCTTTGGCAAGAGGAGAGGGTTGTGTCAAGAACAGAGACAGCCAGTGATATGCATTAGTGTATCATGATACATATGCAAACACATACCTTGGGTAACGGGCGAGGGAGCATCGAGGAACTGCTGGGGGGAGAGAACAGGATGAATGTGGCCCATGAGAAATGCCACTGTAGGATATAGTCATGCTTTTCATGGTCCATGTATTGGTCACATCATGACTATTTCTTCTTACAAGTGATTTAGTTGCACATATAAAGTTATTTTTGTAGTAATAGACCACGCAAAGATGGTTGGTGATGAACGTGACTGTCTCTTACCAGTAAAGCTGATTCAAGTAACAAGAAGTGATTGTCCTGCTCTGCTCTGCAGAATATTGAATATTGTGGCAGTTTTGGGCACCACAATATAAGAAAGATGTTAAGCCATTAGAGAGTGACCAAAGGAGGGCAATGAAGATGGTGAGGGGACTTGAGGGGAATCTGTATGAGGAGCGGCTGAGGGCACTTGGTCTGTTCAGCCTGGAGAGGAGGAGACTGAGGGGAGACCTCATTGCAGTTACAACTTCCTCTGCCTCAGGAGAGGCAGACACTGATCTCTTCTCTGTGGTGACCAGTGACCGGACCTGAGGGAATGGCCTGAGGTTGTGTCAGGGAGGTTCGGGTTATATACTAGATGAAGGTCCTTCCCCCAGAGGGTGGTTGGGCACTGGAACAGGCTCCCCAGAGAAGTGATCACAGCACCAGGACTGGTAGAGTTCAAGAAGAATTTGGATGACACTCTCAGGCACATGGTGTGACTCTTGGGGATGGTCCTGTGCAGGGCTAAGAACTGGACTCGATGATCCTTTTGGGCCCCTTCCAACTTGGAACATTTTGTGAGTCTGTGAAATGGCTGCCTTGAAAGTGTAGTCAGTGCCCCATTATCAGTCTTTGGGTGTTCCCATTTACAGTACAATCCTCTCAGCATCACCTTCATCCCTGTATGATGTCAATAGTTGTTAGATCCCGTCAAACATCACAAACAGCAATGACTCATGCTGAGGCAGATGTAATTAATTACAGTTGCATTTTTTGTGCTAATACTGATGTTTTTTGCTCCTTATGTAAAAGAAACAGGGAAGAAGGGAAAGGGACAGCATTCTCCTTTCTAGTAGCAATGTTATAAAGTGTTTGTAGCTTTCAAAATAAATGACTGTTCTTTTCCAATTTTTTTAAGGGGGGAAAAATATCCTGCTGAGATGCAATCTTAAGCAAAGTACAAGAAGTTCCCAAAGGATGCTGAACATGAACAAAAACATTTCCAGCATTCTTATAATAATACTGTGTTTACTTTGTCAATTAATGATTCATTACCCAAAACAGCTTGTGCATTACAAATGGCTCTGTACTGTATTTATGGAGCTGCAAACTGTAAAAGGCAAAGATGGCTTCACTTTTCTTGCAGCCATTTGTTTATCTGAATAGCAGAAAACAGACTTTTAGAGAGAGTTAGTATATTATATGTTTGTTTACTTAGTCTTTCTTCTAGTGTCTTTGCTCTTCGATGAGGAGCTCATATCCTACCAAGTTTACCACACTAAAAATGAACAGGTCTGGGTTATCTTTATTTTTTTTTACAAAGCGACAGTAGGAATGTAGGCAGGACTTACAGACGATATACAGCCTAGAGTTAGTCCCCTGAGTCTGGGAGTATCAGGTAGAGGATTTCTAGTCCTGTTTATTTCTTCAGATTTAGAGAGCCATAGCATGGCCTCTACCACTGCCACTGCTCTTGGGTCTGAGAGACACCTGGGCCACAAATTACCTCTATTTTCCTTTCAAGACATTGCCCCATTGCCACCATGGGCAGAGGAGCAATGTGAGCCCATGACTGCAGTGTGCCCAGAAGCTGAAGGCACAAAGGCAACGGGTTTCCAAGAACTATCACAAGTTGGTCACGCAATTACTGCAGGAAAGAGGTCAGACCAAGCATTCAGCTGGCGTAAATCAGTCCAGCTTGTCACTGACTTTAGTGGAACTGGTTGATTTATATCAGCTGAGAATCTGACCTGTCACAGGCAGAGATGGAAAATGTAGCACAGTTGGATTCAGTGGGAGTTGTGCTCCCCTGTCACGTGTGTAATATAACTGAGTTCCTGCAGCTGTGGGAGCTGCATCTCGGATTTCCCCACTCTGGTGGTGTTCTTCAAATTATGGCAGAGCTCTTCAGTCACAGAACATTTTTGTTTTATGTTATTGCCATTAGGCCATCTGAGCTTGACTAAAGCTGTGGTTGTAACTTTATTAGACTTCTCCTAAAATTAATTTCACCCTTGATGGCTTTCACCTTGATAAATTGCATCATAAATGGACATAGGTGAAAGCTGGAATCTTCTAAGATTAGTCTAAAATAACAGATTTAATGGTCTTGTTTTACATATAATAGTTACAGAATTTGATCCAAAGCCCAACATGGAGAAACTCTCTTGTCTTCAGAAGACCATATTAAACAGACATTGCCATTGCTGGTGCCAAAAGATTCAAGTTGTTTATTTGCAGTCTTATCTTCAGAACAGTTTGTTAGACACAAATCCACAGAGGGATTTGCTCAAAAAACCTCAGATATCCAACTCTTCCAAGAGAGTCCAAGGTGCACAAACTCCATGTCTAGTATCCAAAGGAAGAGTCAGTACTTCATGAACAGAAAAGCAGCCAGGGCTTTTCATATCAGCAGGTAGAGAGGATAAAGGGCAGTAAATATCTTGTATCTGAAAAGGAGAGGAAGTACACTGTGCTCAGCATCACTAGACTATACTGCTCTCCACTTGGGATTCATGTAATTGAGCTCACTCAAGAGCTGTGAGACATAAGAGCTTTGGATCCCCTTAGAAGCTATTATTGCTTTAAAAATAAACCTACCATTTCCTGATTGTGCAAAATTTGCATATTTCTTGAATATTAGTATATCAACACAGAGATATTAATCAATAGTATCAGATAGTGTCTGCAAAATCATCTTTGCCTCCCAGAATTTTTTTTTTGTTCTTATCATTTTCAGTTTTTATGAGCATTATGTATCTTGTGAATGTTAGCTAACTAGGCTGATATAAATCTTTGAGCTGTGAGAACTGAAAAGATGCTTGCAAGCAATTGTGCAATAACTATATTAAAATAAAACAAATTGGGTCCAAAGTCTAGACATTTGCCTTTTAGTTATATGATTCTTATCTCTGTCATACAGTTTCTCCATGGAGATGGTCAGTCCCCACAGAAGAAAAGATAAGAGTTCAGCAGCAGTGTTGGCCAAACAGTACAGTACAGTTTGAACTGGTATAGTATAATTTTTCCTTATTGATTTAATTAAAAGTGTAAAGCCACATTAAGCATTATTTTCTCTGATAAGCTTTCTATATGTTCCAGTAGGAATTCTTCTGCTTTTTGAAAAGGCCAGGTCTGGATCCAACAGCTTTTGGAAAACAGTAAAATGAGGCTAATTTCCAACTGAGCAAAAGTTGGACTCAGATATGGAAACTCAATAAGGACTTTACTCTGCAGGTCAGGATTCAAGAAGAACCTCAAGGTATCACAGGCAAGTCCATGCTCTCCAACTGGTTCCACACATCCTTTGGCAGGGAATGCTCTTTTCAGGATTTTCAGGAACTTACAGATGTTTCACCACTGTGTCGTTTCAGGGCATGGCATTACTGTTTCCTTCCTGGAAAGGATGTATGGTGAGTTAGATGGAGATAAAGCCACGCAAACTTGAGATCCTCTTTTGAATGGCTTCTTTTGTGAGTACAATGTGTATCTTTGCAGACTAGTGCTGGTAGCCTTTAATTTCCCCTGCAGAATTTGACTCAGTGACTTGAACTAAGGGCTTTGCATGAATTAACACACAGTGTGAGTAAGTAAAGAATACCTTCAGGTACAGAAAACTGCTAAAGAAATAATCTTATGTAGAACTAAAAGTGTGCTGTGGCTTCAGAGCATGTTCAGTTTACAGTTGCATTAGCAGTCCTACAGAAGCCACTGGGTGTTGTCACATAAGAGAGGTTAGGAGAATCTGGACTCCTAAGCAGATTTTACAACTATTAAGTGATATATTGTGATTTACTTTGGATTCTGTAGAGGAGCTTTTGTCCTCAGAACATACAGTGGAGGAAAGTGAAAAAATAATTATCTTTTTGGAGAAAACAGATCAAGATAGCAGGGTTGGTACCAATCCTAAGTCTGATGGGATACAATTGTCTGTT